TTACTTTTCGAGTAAATCGTGCGCAGGGTGTGTTTCATATACATGTACACAGCTGTATATACGTTCATGATATTTTGAAAATAGCGGTAAAATATTTTGAAGTTTTGTGATTCAAAAATCGATTTCCTGAAATTAAATATTGGGAGCTGACACCTTAATTATCTGCAATTTACCAGACTCAGCACCGACACCATCGAGCAATTCACCTGCCCTCGCCTGTCCTAACAGCGGTGGCAGCTATACTTACAACGGCATGGCGGAAGCCACCGTGTTCTGGGATCCCTTGCCGTCGGCTAACGACGCCGAAGACGGTTCAATAAGCCACAATTTGGTGCGATGCAAAGACGAGACCGGAAGATCAGTTTATCACAGGTATACCTCACTACCGACAGGCACAAACACTACGGTGACGTGCTCGGTTACCGACTCCGATGGCAATGTAGGATCCTGCCAGTTCGGGTTCGTCGTAATAGGTAAGAGACAACTTGTTAATGGACGATTAAACCCGGATGGGCACGACATGGCTTGAGGTTAAGTTTACCTTCAACGAAAACAGATCAAATAATTATTATGAGACATTTACGCAGTACCTTAGAGGTTACCATGCTGAAAGCTTTTAAACGCTTAATCAGAAAACATTGACGCTTTTGATAATAATTTTATATACAAACTTTCAAAATTATCTAACAGACTGCCCGTGCTGTCAGCCTCTTGGTATGGAGAGCGGGGAGATCGGTGATGAGCAAATCACTGCAGGAAGCGTCTTGAACAGAGACTACAACCGATACGGGCCGCAGCTGGCTCGACTGAATAGCGGTAACGATAATAATACTTGTATTTACAACGGGCCCAATTACCAATGGATACAAGGCGCTTGCAAGAAAAGAAAGAAAACATAAGAGAGATGATCTGTGGAAGAGACGTTTCTTTGGGACAGATTTTAATGATGATACACTGCCTGAGTTCCCAATGTGATAGGGTAAATTGCTCCACAGGCTCAGGGCAGCAATAGATACACCCTCCCCAGCCTTCTTTCGAGACTAAGGGATGACAAGAATGAGACCGTCGGAGGAACGAAGGGAATAAAAATAGGTCTGTATACTCAGGAGAGAACTGAGATAGTATGGTGCAGAGTTCTCAAGTGATTTGAAGGTATGGGCTATAATTGTATAGAACTGGATACGTTGATAGACTGGAAGCCAGTGAAGTTTTTCATGCAGAGGGAAGTATTTTACCAGTAGGCTATGTGGCACTTCCTGGAAAATTTACGATGAATGGCTTGGCCACTCGGGCCCACAATAATGTAAACCTCGCATTGACAAAGGTACTGGTGTTGCTAGAGTTTGTCTTGTATTAATATGGCACAATACTGTTGCAATTTCAGCCGGATGGTGCGCCGACAGGAACCAGCCTAAATGGATACAGGTAGATTATACTAAAACCGTGGACATCTATGGCATACTCGTCCAAAAGCACAATATCAGTGGAAGCATATCTAAGTTTGATATCATGTACAGCGATGACGGGGAGTCGTGGAATGATCTGTCGAATGGCGATGGCACAAAACGAGCGGTAAGTTACCAACCCTTAATTGGGACAAACCATCCTTTCAAACTGGTCAAGTGGAATTTAATACCAAGTTGACGCCAATAATGATGTAGGCCTAGGCAGTGTCTTTACATCCACGTAACACAGGACCTGATTGGCTATTTGTACATCAACCAACTGGCAAATGATCTTGCCACAAACCTGCTGAGGCAATTAATTAATGATACTGGCCAACCACGCTTTTGACATCCGATAGAACATCTCTATGTCATATTGACAGACTATCCGACCTTTGGTACGTCAACAAGAAGCCATCTTGGAAGTTAGAATTGCATGATATACCAACTAAGTAATGACCCACATTGCAAATGAAACCGACAAGACTGAAAAAGGATCTACTTTCCACTTACGATTTTAGTCTACGAGCGGCAGTCTGCTTACTGCGGAATTTGTTCCTATTTCGGCACTACTTACTTTCTTCTTTCACGCAGCTCTTTGCCTGGGATATTAACTTGGCTCCCGGCGGAGCGTCAATCGCGTTCCAGTCCCCGTCACTCAAAGCAATCCGCACCAGATTCCTCCGCCTGAGCGCAGTGCAGTTCAGCATACCGAGTTGTCTGCGTTTGGAACTCATTGGATGTAAGCTGGATCAATAAATGAGCAACAAAACATGATCACTAAGTCTGTTCGACATTGAAAAATTATAGCTGAACTACATTCTCCCCACAAGAAACCATTATTATAAAAAAAATCTTTTTAAACGCACATGTACAAACCACTGATCAATGTTGGATTCTAACGGCTAACAATATTCTTTTTTTTAAAAATCCGCATCCACATCCAGGCAGCTGCTTTTCAGACCCAGTGACCTTAATTCTGAAGTGTCAGATTTAGAAATAACACATTTTGGAACTTTTTAATCTTGCGTCGAAATTCGAGTTTTTGAACCTTCCCTTTACAATTATTACACATGTACACGTAGCATTGATGAGTGTACAGTACCTATTGTTTAGAGTATATTGTTGAACACTGCTTGATCAGCAACTGGATTTAGCTAGTAAACCTGCCCTCGATAACCCGCCTAGTTAATTTTAGCCTTATTCAAGAGCTATTACAGGCCTGGGGCGGTTTTCACACTATTCTATTCATCTGATAAAACATTTATTTGCCAAGAAGTCTTTTTGTGCCATTAATGTGATGCAACTTATATTTTAAGCACAATGCCAAAATAAACAGCGAGCTGGTTAAAGAGAGGGCGCTATTTACTGGAAAACGGAAGCTCCTTTGATCGGAACTGAACTTCCGACTGAGTGGTTCACGAATGACTACAGGAAATGTACGCGTCATGGTCGCATTGCGACCAACGAAATGAACACTCCCGACCAACACCGCTCTTTTAAACCGATGAGGGGGCACTTCTGCTCGAGGTAGATACATATAATTGTAGCAGCATCGTTTTTCTGGAATATTCTGCATTAATACCCCCGCGTAAAAGAATGTAAAAAGGGAGAAGTAAAGTGGAACCTATTCCGGTTTTCAGTTATTAAAGCTACTTCAATGTATTCTTGTGTAGTAGATTGTACAAATAGTATTAAATTATTATGAAATTTTAAAGGTTATACTCACATCCCCCATTCAAAGAACCTTTAACGAATGATACAGTATAAAAACGCTATATAGCTGTGTTATATAAATGACATTTTCCTGGTTTAATGATATTAGAGTCAAAGCGTGCTGTGGCGCACTTCAACTTTCCTCATATGCAGTGTTTGCTAGACCTCTTCGTTGAAAAACTTTAAATGCATTAGTTAAAAACTGGTACAACCACCGTTATAATGTATGTTGTTGAATCTTGGTGAACAATTTGTCACGAAACTTAGTCCAAAATTAAAAAAACGGTGGCGTCCGGAAATTGGGCACAAATCCAGCCGAGTGCCCCCATATCACATTGGAAAATAAGACTTTCTTTAAAATGATACATTTTGATAAAGGCGTTTAATACCATTAGCATTTTAAAAGATTCCATTGTGCACTTCAGAAAAAGTCAGATTAGGCCAAACCAGAATTTCACGGAACATTGCAGTGGGTACGGAAACCGTCGGGATATCAAAACGAAAATTTTGAGAGCTTGCAGAAATTTAATATACTGTAAAACTTGAGGTAAAATATTGCTCTACCAAGGCACTTGAGGCAAAAAAATAAAGCTCACCACGTTAGCCAGTTAATGGTAGGCCCGCGCCTCGTTTTGTACTTCAACAGTAGGCTGAGCCGGGTGTAATCACTTGGGACTGTCCCACAAACACCTCGTTAACTTGTCTCGCTTAGGGGCTAAAAGCATGCATTATTACATGCACTGAGGCAAGACCATTTCAGAATGGAATGGCTTTTAGGCCTACAGAAATTTGACTTGCCCGTTTCAGTCACAGCTAGCCACAACCTGCATCATTTTCGCCGAAAGCATGTTCTACCAAAATAATTAGGCCTATGTCGCTTCGCGCGTCAGTAAAATATTTGTCTTGTACCCAACGGCATCGAAGTAGGAATTTTGGTTTCCATGCTGGGGGCGCCAGGCTATGGCCACCTCGCCTTGTTTCCCTAATGCGGCATGCATTGACCTCGTCCCCACGACATCGTGCACTTCGCTACCACATGTTGCATCACAGACGAACACGTAGACCTACACCTTAGACCTTTCCCTGTGATGTCACGATCGTGCTGGACTTTTGTGATATGTTGTGATCAGTGGCGTAGCTAGGATTTTACGGGGAGGGGGGGCACCAGCTTTCAGTGGTGTGTTTTTTGGGGGGCAAGCTTTTGTTAGCCTTGTTTAATATCCATTCATCCGGTTATTTTCAGGGGGGGGGGAACCGGGAGTTTGTGCCCACCAGGCCCCCCGTGGCTACGCCACTGGTTGTGATGCTAATGATGCATAGAGTTGTGATGGTAATCTACTTAGTTAATATAAACTAGTCAAGCATGCAGCGTTAGCACATGCGCTTGTACGTGGTTGAAGCTGCCCTTAGGAATATGCGATCACCGTGGCCGGTGCAGTCCACACACATGATGGTATTGTCTACATTTAGCGCAATCCAGTCACGTGGGTAAAAAAAGGTCTATATATACATCTGATTTCTGCACGATCATTGGCCTAATATTTGTTACATAAAAAATTCACAAGTATCACGTGAGTAAAATTGCTCCTGTGAATAAATTATTCCAAACTATGGCCAACCAAGGAAGCCTGAAATGAACAAACACAGAGACTCAAGTTTATTATACTTTCTATGATAGTTTTAATGGTTAACGTCTGGTGAATAAGTTATAAATAAAATCAAACCAGGGTGTATATATAATGTCATTATATAAGTTAATTTCGTATTTTGAACTATTGGGCTTGAAGAGACTCACAAATCGTGGCAAGGATAAGAGTTAAAAGTGGTGGATTGTGAAAAAAGTTGGTGACCTAATGATGGTATTTGGTAGGGCAAATCTGTTGACAATTTACTCAAGAATATTGTGCCCTGGCCTCTGAGAAAGATTCCGCTAGGATCGAAACGTCAGGCCCTCCATATTTTGAGAAACATTTTGTAAATGAGAGGCTTTTTTAAATTGTTAAACTGTCTGTCGCCTCACCTAATAACCAAGTCCATATCCACTAAATGTACACCAAATTGACAAAAAAAGTATGCAAAGTAGAAGGTCACACATCAATCTGAAGAGGCAATAGATAAATTATTGGTTAATAACCCAAACCAAGTAAATGTAAAGTTACTCTGATCAATTATCCTTTTCTGGAAAGATAAAAAATGGCCACCATGACTATACAAAGAAGACAGCCTTTCAGAAGAATTAAACTTAAAAGTAAAATACCCGAGCCTTCTTATATGGATTAAGAGTTAATAAAAAAAAAAACCATAACTGTGAAAATTAGAAAATAAACCTCAGTTTTCATTGCACATATCTTCTGATTATGTTTTTGATAACTTGGAATTATGACATGCATCTGTAGTTTTTTTTCTCTTTTAATTTTTAAATCTCCGATCCTATTTTACACTTGTTTGAAATCTTCTTCTTTAAAATACAGTGCACTTTTTTCATACATGTTTACACGCACTCCCCCCCCCATAGAATCAATCTATTCACATTCCAAAACACACCCTGTACATGTGGGACTCACTCCAAAACCTTATGCCATTACTGGAGTTGAGAAACAAAAGAGGAAACAAGTACATATCCCATGATCCTTCTGGAATAGTGCTGGTTATAAAGTTGGTATTTACACGAACATGTTGATCATTTCTTTGATTCCATCCTGTTTTGTACTCATTCATTTCTGAGAAAAAACATAAAAGGCCTCAGAATTGAAGTTTGTTAATAAATGTACAAGAAAGATGTTCTGAAACCGTGCGATAATCAACACCAAAATTGGTCTTGCTTTGGAATTAGCCAAGACTGAGTAGCCAATTACCAGAATTAACTTGTCATTGAGTATTAATGAAACAACACACATTTGGAAATTCTAAGGCAAGTGTAAGTATATTTCTTTGGGGGGATTTCATAAACTTTCTTATGCTCAACTCCAACGATTTTAACTTTTCATGTGAAACTCATATCTGATGTTACAATCTCTATACAAATATCACAGTACAATGAACTTTATTCAACAAATTTCAAACTTTTCTTGAAACCCTCTTTCCCAAGAGAATGCCTGTGCACAAACACTGCTGAAAGCACTATAAATTTTGTCTAAAGGACATTCAAAGGGTTTAATAGAAACAGTTTTCAATTGTGCAGCACCTTTGAAGCAGTTTTGTTTTCCAATGCAAACAATTTTTACAATGGAAAACCTGAAATTCGGAAACACAACGGATGTATAATTAACACGTCTTACGGAAAAGTAAGTCACAGATCTGTTTTATGCATAGAACCACACACATCTGAACCATTCTCAATTTTAAATATTAAAACAAATTGATCATCAAATATCCTTAATGTTGTAGGATATCTCAAATTTATCAATTTTCCTTTTTTATCATCCCGAAAGGCTCAGTTTGCATGTCTTTTCTTTTAAAAATCCTGTGTATCTTGGATAGCAGTTTTTATACAGATAACCAAGACAGTCCTCTTGAGTAAAATCCAGTCATTACTGAACGAAGTATTGAACCAAAGAACTAAAGATGTCAAGCCAATAAACTCATCAGCCGTCTGACCATATACACTTGTAGTTTTAAAAGTTGAACATAAGGAAGAACTTGGCAAAGGAAGCGGAGTAAAAGTTTACAAAGGTGTAAAGGTGATGAGAAGTGGGGAGTGTCTCAAAAGTTGGGAATGTTCCTGTCCCGTTAGTCCGTTCCTGCTGAAACCCTCTCATTTCACCAGAACATTCATGCATTGTGGGAACGGTGTACAGCATGCATGGACCTTTCTGAGGCAGCGTTTCCTTGGAAATGCCGCGTGCCCAGTGGACCGACCGCCTGTTTCTGCACAGAGAACAAGGCACTCTAAATGGAACATTCTGATCATTCCACAATATGAGACACTCCAGCATTTAATCAACTACACAGTTGATGTGAGACCATTCTTAAATTCATATTGCCTCATTTTCTCTGACAAGTCAGTGAATGTCCTCTGGTTACAGTCTTTTATGTCCACGACTGACAGTCTGTAAAATAAGGCTTTTTGTTTTTAGTAAGGCAACGTCTAAATTAACTGGCTGAGACTGGAGCCGCTACCTAACGGATGCACCCCCTTCCGATAGGCTTGTGTGTAATTGATAGCTGCAGTCGAGCACTGGGGACAGAGCCTGAGTATCTTTTGAGATATCAGTTCATCTCAGGGGATACTCTGGCTTCTGGTGTCACTTGGAAATACATTACAAAGCTGCCATGGATACTTTAAGCTTACATCTTGAAAGGACGAAGGGACACTTGGCAAGACAACGGTGGATGGACAGATATTGGAGGGAAGGTCATATAACTATATCCACCCTCTGACGACAAACAATATAGATGCAAACCAGTGACACACCAGCATTATCATATTATCACCTAGGCTACGCACCGGAACTTGAGAAGACATTGAACTGTCACCATAAATATTAGGTTCTTAAGGGGGAAAAGACTGGTACAGCTGAGCATTTCATTTCTGGGCTTGATTTCACAGAAATCGGATCAAAATGTTTACAGAGAAAAACAAATTGTGCAGCCAAATTCCAGAATTGGCGTAGGGCCACTCGGTGATGACGTTAAAGTCAGAAATGATATCATTCCCTGGTTTAGATGAAGCACTTCCGATGTTGTATGGCACTCCTCGTGCATGTGACTTCCAGTTTGGTAGACCGTCCTGCACAAACAATCTTAAGCCAGACATTGCAAAAATCAACCAAATTGCATTTTCACCTTTGACATTGTCAACAGAGCAGTACTGCAGATGTCACTTTACACAACTAAGTTGACCCATTACAAAAGTATACCGTGATGGGACTTGTTTCCATGGCAACCACCTTGTTTCTATAGAACAAAAAATCAGGCTTTGTCTGATTTACTTGGCAGCAGCTTGGAATTACACACCAGTCTATGGTAATGGCTGCAAACGGTTCCCATAGAGTTGTGCGCAATTTCAAGCCGTAACCAGCGAACCCCCTGTAATGACTCTCAGATTGGTAACAAATGCCTTCACCACAAATACAGTGCTTTAACTCAGGGAACCAGACAACACTGTGACGGTCGACCATCCATCCGTGCAAAACAGTCTTCTACATACGATTACGTCAGTGCATAGTCTCTGCAAACTGTTACATAAAGAGCGTGCTTTTCTTTTTTTAATGCAAATTTGAACGGTGTTCAGTTTGTACAAAATGTTAGGCATCCCAATGTGAAGATCAACAGTTCCCAAACTACAGAGAAATGATGGGTCCACTACACAGGCTTCCAGGACATCTTAAGATGCTCCAAGGCTGTGGAGAGGCGGCGGAGATGGCCCAGCTGGTCGATGCCACACTTCCTCAGGTCGTCCTTGTCCATATGGATGACAATGTCCAGCTCGTCCCAGCCGCTGTGTGTGAAGGCCTTGGCGTACATAGGCAAGCCCAGCGAGGTCAGCCATTCCTCTACGCTGCTGCCGGTGCCGGCGTAGACCGATTTGACTGACTGGCTGGCCAGCGTGTCACTGCGGAACTACGACAGAAGACAAAAACAAGCAGATTTCAATCACTGATGAAATCTGAATTTGGTAACCGATGAAGAACAAACCTGGCATACCTCTACGTCAGTCAATGGCAGAAAAGCTTTCCACAAAAGTTCTTTCAAATAGGTCCCTTCACAACGTAGTCCTGCTGCCCATGCTGAATAGGCTGTTACCTGGACTTATCAACTTAAATATCAGATTTGATCTTAAGAGCTTATAGTCACTCTTCTCTGGAAAGCTTAGATTAACCTCTATTTAGTCAGAACGATATGAAGCACTTTCAATCTATGCAAATTGGCCACTTCGGTCTACAGGGTCGACACCAAACAATAATTGTCCACATCTAAGATAAAAGGAAATCATTAAGCAAGCTGAGAAATACACGGTAAGATAAGATCCTCTTTTTTCACGAAATCATTCATGTCTACTTACCCAGCATCGACAGGCACTGACCAGGTCCCTCACTCGCAGGGATTCTAGACAGGCTGCGACCTCTGACACGTCAGCTTCCAGCTCCTCAGCGTAGCGTTGGACCAACGCTGGAGGAATGCCACAGAAACCCATCTGCAAAGGGAGAAAAGTGTTGTTATACTCAAGCATATCAGAGAGTGACTGAAATAGAGATGTATTTTTGCAGTACTGTTTGTCACTTTTCAAAATCAGACCTGACGGCAAATTTTTGTGCAAAGTATCTAATTTTTTCCTTTTTTTCAATAAGTTCTTCATAAAGTTGGTTATAACCTTATTCGAGTAGGGTTCTTCCTTGAGGTTGATGCCTTCTTGTCTCAGAGTTTGTTCGATGCGCCACTCAAGCTGAGCAGGGACTTGCTGATGGGGAGATTTGTTTGGTCGCAGTGGCAAAGTCGGGGATCCGTGGACAGAGCTTTGTGACATCATCGGGTCACGGTGGTGGGGGTGGTGCTGGTGGTGTTGATGGGGTCTGTGATGGTGAGGCGAGACGCTGCGGGACTTCCGCCGCCCCCTCTGCTGATTGGGCGAGACTGGGCGGAGCGGGGTGGAGTGCAGGGCGTGGCAGCGGTACTGCTCCAGGACACGTCGGGGGAGTTTGGGACTGGGGTGGGTTTTGGCCAGGGAGGACTGGAGGAATCCCCCCGAGTGGCAACGGCGGGATGGGTCGTGGATGCCGTACATCTCCACCAGCTCGCTCTTCCGCCATCTGGTCATGTCCTCGCTGGGAAACTTGGGCACAACATCAGGGGAGGGGCACTGGTGGTCGACGCTGTGGCCGCACTGCAATGGGCACCGCTGGGTGGACTTCTGAAGAGGCCTCAGCTGGGGGGAGTTCAGGGCTGAGCCTGGATCGCTAAAGGTCGGCATCAAGTGTCTGTGCATGAACATGTGAGAATCTCGGGGTGGCACTGGGCTGTTCCAAGCAGGGCTACCAGTGAAGTGATGCTGTCCCCCACATTTGGTTGCCCCATTGGAGTGCACCCTGCAAACATGATGGGCTAGGGGGCTTGCTGAGCCATTTCCTTCCTTCCTCAGACACGACGGAGAGCCCGGGAGTTGATGACCGTTCATCCCTGGCCTGCAGGGTGAGTTCCCTGCTCTGCCAGCTGCGGAGGATGCATTCTGGGATCGCAAAGCGTTGATACAGTTGGAGTTGTTGACATTGCTGTTCTCCTGCAGGGTGTCATCCGACGAGGACGTAGCTCCATCTTTGCCGGGGTAAACAGTCTCGCATTCCTCGATCAGCGAGGTGCCAGCCTCGCTGCACCTGTGAAAGCCCGAGCTGTCGACTGACATGCAGGTCTCCGTGCTCGCAAAGAAACCTGAGTCCCTAACTGTCATACGCCCCCTTGGGTCTCTGGTTGGCCACAGGAGACAATGTAACTGCTGTGAAGCTGCTCTATCTTTTCCTGCAAATATAAACCACAGAACAGCATATAAGTATGTAAATCTTGTCTAATGTTCTTGAGCAATCTTCTTTTCCACAACAGCTTCATTTTTTTGCCGAGATTTTAATGAGGTCAACTGAAGTTAAAGCCATCGCTGCAGTCTGGTTAAAGCGTTGAGCTGGCAAGTGAATATTCACAAATGCTTACTCACTGTTTCCAGGACATGAATATGAAAGGCACTCTGATAAACTGTAAAAAGCCCCCCGTTAATAGTGATGGAGGAATTTTTAGCTGGAGGAATTTTTAGCAAGAGGAAATCATCCTGAGGCCCCAACCACAAGGAAAACATCATGACATATTAAGCAGTGACCTTGACCTTGTTTGAAGCGCAGCCCATTCAAGCTCAGCAATTTTCATAGCAAAGCAATTACACAGAACTTGCATTCTGAGACATGATTCCTCATGTTGGGGAAACAAATATCAGAAGATTGGAAACATTCCTCAGAAGAGAAGAAAGAAAAGTACAAATTATAAAACAATTCCACAGATTAAAAATTGCTGAAAACGACATGAATGTAAGGGAGCATAAGAAGAAATAGGAGAGGTTTCATCACCAAACTTTTTAAGTGGCTCCACAATGCATGTATTTTCTTGTTGTCAGGGTGATGGGTGTTAATTTTCCATGGCAAAACCCTCCGATATTTAGACTTTTACGAATTCCCAAAGCCTTGATGACTGAAACAGAAGCCTTAATGGATGCAAATATATGCGTGATGTCTGAATGCTAACCTGAGTCCACACTGAATATGCAGATACACGTCACGAGTTACTGCTTAAGCATGTATTAGAATCTAGAACCGGAAACCAACAGAAACACAGCAATAAGTTGCACAGTGAAACACAAATATTGGCCAAGGTTTTGTTCCAAATGCTCCGGGCCATGTTTGACGGTGTAAATGAAGATTAGAAACCTGTGAGTGGGGACAGACCAAATCAACATGGTGAAGCCTGAAATGGGTCAAACGGAACCTGACGGCCCAATTTTTTTTTCTTTGCCACAGAGGTGTTTTCTCAGCCAAAGAAAAGGTTCTTATCTCATGTACTGGATTAATGTACATACCAAATCTGAATTGACTGCCAACTAGGCAGTCCGGCCATTTAACTAGTAATCAGCCAGTAACCCACTCCTATTTTGCTGGAGCAAAGTACCAGTCGAAACCCATGCTGCACAGCTTGATCCATGCAACCCAAGTTGAAAACTTCTTTGGAACACTGCACTTGCAAGGGGAGTGGGCTTAAATGTTGGCCAAATTTATTCCTGCAAAGTCTGACGATTTCCATCCTGAATACGCACAGTATGTCCCTCTACTTCATTTTTTTTTTTACCTGCTTTCGGGTCTCGTAACATCTGCGCAGCGGTGGTAAGCTTGACTATGTGCGTGGGGTCGGTGATGCTGAGTGACTCAAGATGCCCCTCCTCGAGAAACTTGAACTGCTCCAGGGAGCCAAAGTCGTGAAGATGAAGAATGGTGTAATATTGCTGAAGTACATGACAACAAGAACAAAAACATTTTCAGGCCATCAATTTCATCTATAGTTCAGTTTTGGGGGTTTTTTTGAGTGAGTGAAGTTGAAAGACAAATATTAGTTTGGAAGATAACATGACGCTTGAGCAGCCACAAGTTTATCAAACATCTGGATTAATAAGAAAAATTGCAACCTGTTTTACTTACAAGAGCCTATGAAAGAACATATGAATTTTGCATTCCATATGGGGGTCCTCTAAACAGCACATAAGGTACGTCTGTACTCCGAGTCACGCTCAACTTGAGTCCAAATTTACTCAAATTGGAGATCCAGCTCTTATCAGTAAAGTCTAAACTGGTCTGGTTGTCCCAATAATGCTCGGGCAGACTGAGGTCTGAGAACAGCTAAGGGTTTCTGGATTTCTTATCCATGCATGTATAATACTACAGTCAAATCTTAAATATTGGCCCTCAAGCAGGAGCTGCACTAAGCATGTATGCTACTTGAGAATCAGGCCAATGAGGCTACACGAAAGGAGCAAAAGACGTGTGGACAGAAGTTGGGTGCTTCCAGTCTGCAACTCAACCTACTTCGCATTCTATCCGTTCCAGGAGCTCCTTCAGGTTGGCAAACGAGGGCGTGACCTGCACGTCCTCGCCCTCCTCGCACGGCATCTCCGCCCTTAACTTCTCCTTCTCCAGCTCCTCCTGGCTCAGCCGTTCAAAGTGGATGAACTTAAAGAGGCCGCGTCGCTTGGCCTGGACTCCCTCCCAGTAGCTCCCTTTGTTCTCTGTGACATAAAGTCTGACCCCCGCCTTTCAAGAAAATTAGAACAATGCCACTATCATCCAGGGCATAAATTGGTTGTGAATTTTTTCCAAGAATTTTATCGTCAAACCTCTGAAGGTGTCCAATTGATCGGTCTGGGACTTCATTTGCAAGAAAAAACTCAGGGCAAAAAGATAATAAAAAAACTTGAAACCTAATCCCTCCCCTTGCTGTTGATGTGTGCGCTTCCCTAGGCCCTATGGAGGCTCAACGAATCGTGTCCCACCTCACCGCCATAGGAAAGTGGACATGTGACAGAGCTTGACGTCACTGTGTTATAGGTGACTGTTGAAGGAGTCCATTTTCTTTCTGATCACCATCACCTATGATTACTTGAGTAAAATACCTTGCTTGAGGACACCTTACCTTAAGCGGTAACATATCTGGATCATGAGGATTGAGTGGGGTGTCTACTTTGGCGGTTCCAATTAGTAGGTAGGGCCCACAATACTCTCCCTGGCTGTCTAAGAGGCGGGGATCGACATCATATTTCTTTCGCTCGTGCTCAGCTCCGCCTAGACGAGAAAAACATTATTTTATCAACAGATTCATTTTAAACACTATCAGTGAAAATATGGTGCCCAAAATAGAATTTTTCCCCAAAAGAAAACATAGCCTTTCCAATTTCCAGCAAGCTGGCTGGAGAATGGAGAAAAATTTATTGCTCCTCTATTACCCCTGCTCATCAAACCACTAAACTTCCTAAGAACCCATGTCATCCTTCAACTCACTTTAGGCCATATGCTGTCGAGAGTCACGTACATATGTATTGGCACTGGCTAAAGCTGATCGCTGGCTGATTTCCAAAGGCAAGAGAATCTTCTTTTATATAGGTAAGAGAGTGTCGGATGTGACCTTCCGAAACAACATGAAATGGTCTGGTACCTGAACTCTTTGAACTGCTACTTGTTGAGGAGCCAATGGTTCCATTCCGCTCCAGACTGCCATCTGAGGCTTCACTTAATACCTGCCGATCAAACAAGTACTAAAACTCATATTTTTTTGAAGACCAATGCATTTGTGACTCGGAATGGAGTAACATGATATGAACTGTTTCCCAGTGGCGAATCAAGTGAGCAGCGGGGAAGGGGACAGCGGCGTATCCAGCTTTTAGTGTCGGGGGGAGGGGGGCAAATGAATGTAGTTTCGGGCTCATTCAACTTGATTTTGGGGAGAAAAAAATCACAGGCCTTACAGCCCCGACATCCTAGCTTTTATTTGCTGCTGTTGTTTTTTTAGGGTTTTGGTGCTAATATTTGATGAATAAATACATGTATACCGATTATTTTCTTTCCTGATCACCTTTGAATTATTCTTGTAAAAAAAAAAGTTCAAGGGGGCAAGTTGCCCCCCCTGCTGGATACGCCACTGGGAGGGGAAGGGGGACGGGCTCCTTGAGACACTCTGCCAACTGGGTTTTTTTAAGGAATTGAAAGGGCCAGTCTTTTTGAAACAGTACTACCACCATCTTTCTTGAAAGGGGTGCGGATTCTTCCATGGTTACAAAATCTGGACACTCATACCCAAGGTCTGGGTACACCACTGCCATCACCCTTTAGTTTCGGTGCACACTTTCAGTAAAACCTTTTAACCGTATTTCAGTGTTAACAAGAATAACTTGACATTCAAAAATAAGCATGAGATTCAAGATGCCCTCTTTTTTCATCTTTTGGAAGCGGCCGATCACATACTTACATCTGTGCCAGAGCCATCGGGTGATGAAGACCAGGATTTTTTGGCTCTATCCCTCTTGAATAGCTGCTTGAACGGATTGTCACTTCTGGTCGACGTGGGATCCTGGCGAGCAAATGTAAATCACTGAGTCACCGAGCCTCTCTTACAGATGAAGAGGAGTTCAAACATAAAAACGAGTAAGAAATTAATCTGGGAAAACATGATGACAATGCAACGAAAGTGATGTTATTCTAACAAGCAGCTGTGGGAAAAAAATAAAATATGCTACCAGAAGCCTTTAGACAGGCATTAAAAGGCATACATAAATTGTTCAGAGAGCTAGCCTGAAGCAAGGTACAACTTGATATTAAGAAATTCTGCAGTCCTGTGGTTCACGGACTACGTTAGTAAGTGTTAAGATCCTGATAAAAATTAAACTGGTTCTGAAGTTTCAACTCCACCAAAACCCTACGGGGAAGTGTCCAGGTTGGTGATTCTCCACCTTTGAAGAAATGAAAGAAATAAGATTTGTGGACTGGGAAGTTTCAGAGTTTTTTGGTCTTTATGCAAATAGACTGCAATGCCACAGTTGGATATGATGGTTCAATTCAGTTCTGCTGATGATGGGTATGCAAACACAGACAAGCAAACAGTGAGATGGACAAATGGTCTCATTAACGCAACAAAACGTCAGCATGCACATTCACAAAAAAATGTACTCCATTCTGGCATGCAAATAATTCTTAGAAAGAGACATCAGGCATGATCCTGGACTTAAATCGTGGACTGTGGCTCAACTTGGGAATTGGAAAAGAAAAGCTAATTTTTTTTTTAAAGTAGAATTGTTTTTCAAAAGTCAACTACAATCTAGTCTCAACCCAAGTCACACATCATTCAAATGAACTGAGTTTTCCAGAGTCACTGCTCGACTTAATCAGCTTATGGTATTAATTGAGACTGGCATCAACTCTGCCACAAATCTAAACTTAGGCTGTCTCTTTTGGGGTCATATTGGAAGTCTTCATTGCCCATGTCAGATATTTGGTGTAAATTTTTTCTCAGCTCTTTTTGAAAGAAGGGCAACTTTGGGAGTGTGAGAGTTGGTAAACTTCTGGACTTTTCTCAAATCCTCAACAATTGAGCCACGCCTGAAACACAAACAAACAACCCAACAAACAAACAAACAAACAAACAGAAAAGACAAACAAGCATACAACAGCATGCGACCATGCAGGCAGTGCAAGAAATGTCAGAAAAATTGCAAACTCATAATGGGCAGAAGGAGTAAGTACAGAGCCAACGGTAGCTTCTTACATGTATTTTCAAGGATTTTTTCAGAAGGGAGGCATAACTTCCGGAGAAAGCCCCAAGGGCCAGCTGGAAGAGACAGACACCAGACAGGGCAAAGTGATGGCTCGACATAAGAACAAGCAAAGTGGAATAGATACAGGCAATAAATAAATTACACAAACACACTGACACAGTGGGCATATGACTGCAGAACGGCATTATTGCTGATGGGGTGTTTCAACGTCTGACCTTACCCCAAGTTGAAGACAATGTGATCATGTGGTATCACCACAGTGATGGCATCTCCAGATCATTAGCTTATCAGTGGTGTAACTACGTGGGGCAAGGCACAGGGACGGGACGCAAACACATGCCCCTTAGCCAGCAGTGCCCCCCCTCTCCCCCAAGGTACCCCTATTTGAAATGCACAAGCCGCCACCCACAGGCTTTTGGTACACCCCTTGAGCAAACGTGCAACTCCTCGAATGACACTCAAGAAATGTCATCCTACGCGATAGGTACGTTGCTGCAGTCCACTGACGAACATTTTCACATTTAATCAATGCTTAAGGGCTAAAGTGTGCAAGGAACAGAGCTGATAACAGGCCACATCTTTGGGGCTTTGGAAGCGGTACAGAGACACATGCAGCACAACTTCACAATCTCAGATCAAATGATGAGACAAGAAGCATATTTAAGAACACTTTCGAAGCCAAAGCATAATTTTTTTGGAAGAGACAACATGGGGTGAAACTTCGCAAGAGGTGTGAATAAAATGTGAGAGCCATGGTTGCTGGAAAAATATAAAAAACCTGTGTTGCTACACTTGAGCAAAACCTGATAATTTTGAAAATTTTCTTCACTGAAGAACAAGACGTGTCAACCATTTTTCTTTCCCCCTTTTCGAGCTTTTTTCATTAGGTGTCTAATTTTCAAATCCATTTAACCCTTCCAGAGGCTTAGCTTTAAAAAAATAATACATGAAATGTGGTAGGGAATCAGATGAGCTCTGTTGAGTACCAGCCAGGAGCCACAGTACCTCGCATAGTAATTTCAATGATAACCAGTGAAATAAGTTCAGCTCTCGGCAAATATTTGTGCTAAAGTGAACAATGCAGTTGCAGGTTCCTGAATTTTGACATGGTCACCGAAAACAAAAATGAAAAATCTTCATCAACTCTCTTGCCTCTGTTGTATTGTGTTCAAAAACGGACAATGGATGGCTTTTCAAGTGACAGGATTGGCAAAGTTGAGACTCAACTTACTGCTGGTGAGCTGGGTGACCTGCCTCTTTTGTGGAAGACAGGACTTGGCTCCAAGTACTCTCCCTTATTCAGAGAGGGCAAGCTCCCCCGCTTGACGCCGTGCTGGCCCGACTCCGGCATGGTGTCCTGCACGTCTTCGAGGTCCTCCCCCGACTGGCTGGCAGTTTTGGCATGCCTGTTCTCCAAGACCAGACCGCCGTGCTCCAAAATATCCCCTGGAGGCGGGGGACCGGTGAAAACGTCCTCGTCGGCGAGAGGATTGCGCTCTGTGTGCTGCCTGGAATCCTTACGTATGCTCACAGGGTTGTCCAAGCTGGACGAACTTCTGGAGAAGGGTGAGCTTTCAAAGGAGTCTGGGGGAAGGTCATAGTTGTGTTGGCTAGGGGTGCTCTCATCCGATGGTCCCTCAGTGCCACATGCAGAATCTATATCTGTGTCAAAGAAGAGTCCAATTATGAAACACACAACACTCAACAACATCCATCTGCAGGTGTGGGCTAAAATGAGCCAAACCTTGATTTGATTCCGTTGGAAATGTTACAGAGTGTCTGGTCAAAAGCTTGGTGCAAACTGGTTCCCTTAACTAAATGGGTACAAAACTGGTTAGACTATTAGACTAAATTAACGGCAGACACTTAGAAAACAGACAACATCACGGGCCCATTGGCTGAAGTTTTTCTAATTTCAATTAACTGTCCTTATTAACCAAGCCACTAGGACTGGCTAAACTCAATGACCACACTCACTGACCAATTAACTGGTCAAAGTGCTGTATAGAAATCGCCTCTTTCATTGTGCTTCTTGTTTCTCTTTGAATTCTCTTGCATTTCTTGCCTTTGTCTTATCGCAAAGAAATTAAAAGTCAGAGAAGATTCCACCAACCTGACGGTGTGATAGGACTCCCCTCGGGACTTTCATTTCCACTGCTGACCAGTGTTGGTTTGGAATGCTATCCAGTCCGAGAAAAGAAAAATAAGAGAACATTGTAAATATAAAAACTGGTGCAGAAATTAGGCAGAGGGTTGAAGAAGTTCTGGGGGGATTGTGGAACATGTTAAGATAGGTTTCCACGGTAATTTGGGCAGGACAAAACTACAAAGACAAGCCTCCTGAAGACTGGGTTCAAGACTGTTGTGAACTTCACACCTAATCACCTGCACTCCTCAAAAGCTATACCCCACTACAACGCCTCTCAGTGCAATTGTTAGTACTCAAAAATGTCTGTTAACGTTTACAACGCGAACTTGACAAGGCAAAGCATTTAACACATGGGTTGGGCAACAAAATCAAAGAAACAAACGTGTGTCAATTGCTTTGGTGAAGCCCTTTCTTTTAAAAGCAAACAAACAACAAACACCCCCAAACAACCCAACAAACAAGCAAACTCTAAGTATGCTGAGAAATTTGGACATGGCTTTCAAGGTTGTTCTCATTTTACAAGTAGAAGTAAAAGTTGGCAGGATACAGCACGTCTGTCAATTGCTTTGTAGAATCATCCTCTTCAAAACCCAAATTTTGGTCCCAGATGTCTGCACACTGCCACAGTGGCAGTTATAATTCCAATCATTTTAAGTGACAGTGTTTCACACATTGGGTGCAGTCTTCCAAAGTTTTCAAGTACTTTTCCAAAAAATGGTTAAATAATATTTGTTGTTTTATCACTTGGGAAAGGGGCGCACTGCTGGGACCCTTTTAATCATTGACTCATTCCCCAAATCAAAATTTGAAGAAATTCTTGTACAAGATACTGCCCCAAAACTCATTGTTGGGCAAACTCTTCCTGGAAACGTGATTTTGAAGTCGTGTAAAAACCACACATAACCTAGGCAATTTGTGGGTGGGGTTTAGGGGCTCATACATTATTCAAAGCTGTTAGTCACGTGACTCACCCCAGGTAGGGAAGGCTCAAATGGTATATTTCATTTTGTTTATCCCTTTTGCCTGTTGGGCTTACCTGCATTTCTAGATCTCGTTTCAACTGCTCCCCCTGCAAAACGTAAACACACAAAAATGCACAAACAAAAGTGCAAGCATAAATTTTAAATAAATGCATAAATTAAAATACTATAGCTGGAAAAATAGAAACTGTGAAGATACCCGGTGGCAAAAAAGACATGACAAAATTAACACACCTTTAAAAGCCACAGTTGGAACGAGGTGCTTTTTTGGGGCAGAAAAGGGTGTGGGGAGTTTGTGCTTTGTGCATGGGTGGTAGGGCAGAATTCTCAGGGGGGGAGGAGGGGGACAGGCTGGTCAGCACAAGAAAATATGTCAAAAGCAGCAATGGTTACCAGCCAGAGTTCCATGCAACAAACATTGATCAGTAACTGGTACCCGGACAATCCTGAGCTTATCGCATGAATTTGCAAAGCTATATTTTGTACACGGCAGCTTCACAACAGTTACCCCACATAAAAGAGGTTTGTTTTTTAATGACAACTTTACACATTTGATAAATCTTTGCAAGAACAAAAATTTGTGGGACTACAACTGTGTGTAAATCTACTGAGCTCGTTTGAATATGTTTGTGTTTAAATGCATTATTGATAAGCTCTATTTTTGCCAGCTTTCCAATGACACTACTATTGATGTGCTTTAGGTGTGTATGACGCCATTCGTCTGAATTTGCTCCAACTAAACGACTCATTCAATCAGCAAATCTTTCTTCATCACATTTATCCATCATTTTCTCTCCTTTCTCCATAATTTACTCACATACTGTTTACAAACAAGTCAAGTACCAACAAGGCCAATCCTCTTGTTCTCAACCATCTGACAACTTTCCTAAATTGGCCTTTCAACTCGCAAAACTGTCTACATTTAACGCCGACGTTTTTCAATTTTCAATCTTTAGAGCCTCTCTCATCTGCACCAAGTCCCCTCCCCCTAAAAAAAAAAACCTTTCCATCTGCAATCAAAATGGGATTCAATCAGGCAGGCCTAAGCTCTGACAGGGTTTGATGTCCGACAGCAAAATATTTCAGCTAGATTACTCTCCCGGTGGGCAAAAAGGGGAGGCAGAAGCCCGCCTTCCTTGTTAGCAAAGACTCTAACCAGGTCAGACGTATATCCCCTGTATCTCCAGCAAACATGCAGACACACACGCCAACAAGTTAAACCTCCCCCATCAGCACTAACCAATCATCCTTCTACGTGTCTCATTCTCCCCGTTCCAGTTTCCTCCCCTTCCCCCCTACTCGTCTTCGAGAATTTTTTACCTGTAGTATCTGCTTCCCAGTTCACGATCCCCTGGGCGGTTCATTTTAAAAAAAAAAATATAGGAAACAGACGACAGAAAACGGAGAAGACTCCCCCCCACCAAAAAAAAAAAAAATATAAAAAAATGTGGGAGTTTGAAAGGAAAAAAGATCGCACTCTTATGAGATACTTCTTCCCCCCGTTGTACATTCAGCCAACACCTGTCATCGAGTCGTCCACCTGTCGTGCGGACATCGCACAGTACGCGCTATCAGTTTCTGCACGCTTAATTAATAATGGAACATGAGAACGAGATATGGGGGGGTGAGGCAAACAAGTAGAAGGGGAAAAAAACGTTGGGTTGGACAATTTGTGAAAAGAGCAAGGCAACAACAGTATCATCTCTGTTTCTTTGGCATACATGCACTCTTCGGGTAACCCAACCATACTCCTTTTTGTCGTCGACAGGAAGCCCAACTGATGTCGGGTTTTTCTTCCTTCTTCGTTTGCAGCAAAGCTACCTGTACTGACTGACCTAGAAAAAGCGCAAGATATGTGCCGACTGTAATTTAAAGAGCAGGGGACCTTTGCCCGTTGAGGTACAAGAAAAACACTCAGGCAAAGACTTCATCCATTTCTTGTTTTTGTTCTTCCTTTTGTTTTTAACAACAACTTATTCGGTCAAAGCAACATTTTATCTTTCAGTCCCAGTAGGAACAGTGGATTTGTTCAGCCCTGTTTCAGAATGAAAACCACAGGTCAATAGTCTCTGCTCAAGCAGTCGAAGAATATGTTTTTCTTCTAACTAAAGAAGCATGCAATGACAGTGCTTTACAGCGTCGGGAAAGGGACTTCTTTAAAAAGTTCATAGTACATGGTTCATGGCACAAACAATCCATCAGCCAGTGCAGGTTTAATTTCCTCCTAATTTCATCACCTGTTTTCATTAAAACAAAGCCCAACAGCATTTCAGGTAATAAGACAAATTAGCTGTCAAATTACGAATGTTTTGACATGTTTTCAAACCATTTAAAACAACTCATTTCTTGTGTCTATACTGTTTCTTTACCACAGAAAATATGGCTCTAGGTGGACCTATCACATTTTAAAAAAGCTATTTCTGTGCCTGCCCAGGACTGCTTCCCGTTGCAGGCTATTGGTGAACCTATGCCGGCTCACAGCAGCCGCGGGCTATTTCTCATTGATTACTGCATTCAAAGGTCAGCCCGTACAGGGTTGAGAATTCCTTTCCGAACCAGCGATTGCAGGTCTGGACAAGTCACGTTTTTTGATGCAGGTAAAAATCACGAACACCAGGCCAGGCAATTATTAGAGGTTTTTTTTCTTCATCTTTGTCTTTGTTTAAAAAAATTGACAGTACATAATGATGGCTTATGCGTATCAATCAATCAATAAATGCTGTATAATTTCCTTAAGTGACAAATGAATTTATTGAAGATTTCAATCTAATCAAATTTTTGAAGTGTACACGTTTAACTGAATCCCTTGTTTGAGGGGAGTTAAGGCATTATAGTCATGTATATGAATTGGAAAATACAATATTTCATCAGCTTGGGTTTCTTTCAAATGGATATTGAATCTCGTTCCAATTTTTTTGCTGACTGAACATCTTAGAATGAAAGACAGGAAAAACAGACGACTTGAGAAGGATATTTTTTTGAAAAGGCAGCTGACGTCCTTAATTGGTAAAAAGAATCGGTTGATTTTGGGCCAGAACCCGGACACGCTTGTACTGTCACAACAAATGTACCCATACCTGATGACAGAAAAATGTACCCAAAAATGTAGTGAATCTATTTTGCAGCTTCCTATTCCACCGAGAATTTGCCACGTTGCAGACATCTCAGAAATGCATTTGGCAGACACGTCTGCTGAATGCCTTCTCACCCAAAAAAAAGAGAGTTGTTTGTTTTTCAAGTAATGGCATTGCCACTCTGTACAATCCCCCGAGAATGGCTCTCAATTGTTGCACTACGACGAAAGAAAAAAAAAAGAAAAGTCCATTTGTTAAGTCTGGATAAGAATGGCGCTGCACTATCGCGAGACGCTGTTTTTGCAGTGTCTGTTTTTTGATCCACGGTGAGCACAAAAGACACTGTTTCTTTTGTACTGAGCAGTGGAGACTTCAATCCTGGGCGCTCTTGTGTACTTTTTTCCTTCCAAAAGGAGATGAATGCGACGGGGATGCCATCGATAAAGCGTCCGTGTCCCCGTGTTTTTGTCGCAGTCAGATACCCAGGAGATGGTGCTGTATCGGTTACAGCTTGGCCTGTTATTTATCCAAACATCGGGTCATCACTGGCCAAACGATTGGTTGCCACGGTGAGAGATTAATGAAAGGAGATGGCATTATTGTGGCTACGTCTCGGCCTGCAAACCACCTCCGGGCGGTTGAGAAAATCAAACAAGCTACACTCTGCCACAATTGTCCTTTGAAGCAACATTTCACTGGTATTTTCCCCCCCAAAAAATGACATAGCGGGCAGAAGTTCTGCATGCTGGCCCTGCACTTCAAGGCCACAGAAAAAGCCCAGCTGACACTTCTGCAGACATGGTCATGAAAAAACTGCTGACATTTAGCCTGACTTGTAGAATCATTCTACAATCCTCCTGCTTGACATCAAAAAAGTTCAGAACAATCCACTTGATTGGAACTTTGTGACGAAGCTGTTATCAGCCAGCATTGTCAAAATGCAGAGAAGGGAAAAGTACATTCACAAATAAAGGTATTTCCAAAAAAGCTTTACTGCTGTTAAAATAAATCCCAACTCAAAATCTGTTTTGGAGGGCAGAGACATCCTTTTTTTTTTTTTAATTACCTCACTCTCAGGCATCTCAATTTTTTTTGTTTACAAATTTGCAATGACTGCAGGAGGGCACAGATGTCCCTGAACCAGTGATTCTGGCCTGTGTGATAGAGATCCGCCTTGACATCCCCCCCCCAGCACAATGACCTTTTTTGGGTGTCTTCGCCAGGGAGACAGAAATGCATGTTTGTCACGCTCCCCTAGGGGGTAGGGGGTGACCCAGGGTGGGGATGTCTAATTCTAATTTCAAATTTATACAGCAGGGCTGGTTATTTGGTTCTGCCTCGCCCCCAGGACGCGGAAATAACGGAAATGCTGGGACAGAATATGGAGAATAGGCCAGGCAAAGAAGAAGTAGAAAAAAATAATTCAATTCTGTATGTGCTCCTCCTCCAAAAATCAAAGCCCCCTTTTTTTCTCAACTCAGTCTAAGTGCTATGGACAAACAAGCAGAGATGCTGACTGACACTCTGGTTAAAGCAAGGGATAAGATAGGATTTGTGAACTGAGTCAAATGTAAATGGTTTTTAACCCTTCACAAATTCTGTGTTGATCTCTCGCGGGAATGGACAGTTTGCGCACAGCAGCCACTTTGAAGATGCCTTTGTCGTTTTCAGTCACTCCGGTGCTCAAGAAGTTTACTTGTGTGCATGAACCGAAACAAAACACAAACACGCATCCCTTCAAAATGGCTTCTGCGAAACGATAATGTTTAGCCAGAAAAACACTTCAATCTGTCAATAATTTCAATCGGTGATGCAATGTATCGCGAATTGCTACTGTTGTTGGGAGGGCACGTGGGTATCTAGAAAGTAAAATAGTTCCATCGTTCTTTTTATGGAAGCCTGAGAAATTACTGAAACGATTTGCCCTGGTCCTCATCTCATTGGGCCACTGCCGCTTGAGTCAGACGAGTATCATTTTTCTGTAACGTAAAACGCCCCAATTCATGAATAGTGCGAGCTCGTCCGTGATGGGCTTTTCTACTGACACACACCCCCCATCAAATTGTGTCATGAACCCTGCTAGTTGTTTACACTGCAACGGCACATTCTTCCAAACCTTATTTTCATTTGCACTTCAGCTCGATTAAAAAAAAAATAAGGAAGGCGTGCACGAGGATAGATCCCCGCCATGCAAGATGCACTCTGGAGGATGCATTTTTCACTCCCAACAAGAAAAATCAATGTCAATTTCTCGTTGTTATCACATTAATTCAGAGTTGCCTTTTCTCTCTCTCTCTGTCTTCACTTCACAGCTCCTATTTTCCCCGTTTCCATCTCTCCACTCCTCTTCTTCCATTCCACTCTCCAGACCGACTCGGATCTCTCTCGATTCTCTCCAGTCGCAACCAGAGAGCCATTTTTGTTTTTCCTACACCCCACTGAGGCCGTGTCACTCTATTGTCCCTGGCCACAATTAAATCCGAGACGGGATGGTTCTTTTTACTTTTATTAGAGAGGAGGGAAACATGAGCTCGAAATCTGAGAGTCGATGCATTATCTCTCTGCAAATGTCCTTAAATTGCTGCCATATTGCTGCTGAAAGGGGATAAAATGGTCAGGGCGGACAATGGACGGGCTACGCGTCATTGAGTTCTAGTAGGCTCTACTTTCAGCCCCCTGGCAAAACTCAATTTTTTTTTTCTTCTTCTGAGCCCTCGTCTTCTGCACATCTTTGCCCAAACTTTCTTGTTCTTTTTGCAAACTAATTCGAGCTCTGAGCATGAAAACTCAAGCCGTCGAGCGCCACGGCCGGCAGAAGGCTTTGGAGAATTAAGACACTGGAGTATTCCTTCCGAAACAAGGAAACGGAAGCGGCAGATCAGATTGGACTGATCTTTGCCGGTTATGCCCCGTTGCGCCAGGAGGTGGATGAGGACCGACCAAAAAGTGCTCGAGCACTACCTATCCGGCTCCCTCCACTTGCGGGAACCGGTGCTGCCCCACGGTGGTGTAACAGAACACTAATTGGTAATCTGACGTGACAAGGCAAATGATGCTTTATTTTTTCTCTTGTGAAGCAGCCGGGGTTTGTGCGAGCGAGGCCCGCTATCGGAGGATGCATCCACCAAGTAATGGGCCAAAGTGGTCGACTTGATGGAAATTGACAGACTACCTACAATTCACTTATCATGTCACTCTGTCTCATTCTACAGAGAGCAGCATTACAGCAAGAAAAAATTTGATGCTTTTACTCAAACATAGAGAGAGAGAGTCTTGGTGTTGTTGAAGCTATGGAGGTTACAGAAAAGGTGTACATTTGTTGGCGGCTTCCTTGTTGATTCATTTTGCGGAAAAGGTAATTTATTTCACCGATTCCTCGCTCTAATGAGCATCAATTATTCAAATCAAATCCAAACAAAACCCTACAAATTCTGTGCACAAGTTCACCCTCTGTGGAGAAAAAAAGGCAGGATAAACCTTGAAGACCACTGTTGCTGAGTGCATACGGCAGGTGTAAGGTTGCATAAATTCTACTGACTGTGTAAAATCAGATAGAAATCTGATTTTTTTGCTCATTCAAACAAAAACCTGTCTATGTACTTTTCGCCAAAAATCTTATTTTTGGTGCACAGACAAAAAGCAGATGTTTATGCAGATTCGGCTGAATATCTTATTTTTTGTGCACATTCAAATGAAACTCTGACTTTACATATTCAGATGAAAATCTGAATCTCACTCAGATAAATATCTTGCATACTTCACACTTACTCACCACGGACAAGTACTGATATCAGCAAGCATTACGTGCCACATGCAAACAAAAAAAGCTCTTGCAGGTAGGTCACAAGAGCTGAATTTTACTTTGTCTTTAGGGAGCTAGCAACATGTGATTTCTGAAAATCCCAAACTACAGGTTAATTCCTTAGAAAACTAGATAAGTGTGACTACAGAAATTTGAAAACATGTTTACCACAGAAGGGCCGCGACCCACCTTTTCACAGACCTCCTCCTGGGTCAACTTGCCCTCTTTGAGCTGGTTCATGAGCACTTTGATTTCCTCGTCATACTTGCTATCGAAATCTGCAAACACATGAACACAGAGACAAGCCATGCACCTCGTTGTCTGCAAACTTGGATTTCCCCACCCGCTGATTTCTGCTGTCATCAAGATGATGTCCCCCCCCCAAAAAAAAAACAACAAAGGAAAATGTCAGAGCTCAGTGCTCATAACTCATTCAAATCAAAATAGCATGAGCTTTTGTGTCTCACAAGGAACCATTACCTCAATTAATGACACAGCTCTGACACCTTGTATCTTCCCATCCTTTGATTAACGACCAAACACACTATCCTCTGTCCTTCCAGTTTCGTATCCTTACTCTCTTTTTATGTCGTACTGAGCTTAATTTTAGAAATACAGTGGCTGGCGGAGGTGGTTTTTTTTTTATCCTGAGCTATGTGATGCCACCCAAGCATCGCTCTCTGCTCAGGAAATCAGACCAGCTCAATAAAACAATAAATCAATACCCATTGGGGATATATCGGGTGACGCCAGAGTCCTGCCAGCTTTCACTGAGGACTTAAACGGCTGCATTTGAGACTCAGTTGTGAAATCATTTCAGGAATATTTTCAAGAGGGGGGCTACAAAAGAGTGCTTTGGATTGCTCCAATTCCTGGAGATAAAAGTCCTCAAATGGAATAAGTACTTTGCAAGATTCCAGCAAAGACAAAGTGCGAGTAATGATTTTCCTCTCCAATTTTAACTGGGCCTGAGCAACAGAGTGGGGTCCCCGGTCGATTAGGCTTTGAGTGAGTGGCTCCCCGACCGTCTTACACGAAGGCGGTGTGAGAGTCTATTGGATGGTTGGTTTCATGAGGGGAATGATATTTATGGGGGTGTACAGTCGATGATGCGTTTTGGGTCGACGGGAGGTTAATTGCTGCTCAAGACAGAGAGGGAGGAGAATGGTATTGATTTGGTATTTTGCCCAGCTGCAAAATGAGGGAAAGAAATCCCAACTTTGGAATTGAAGGATAGTGCTGTATCCCTCCAAGGTGAGAATTATGAGGGGCAGTTCTTGAACTTTTTGAACTTCATTTAACCAGACACGTCTCAGGCTGAAACTTTTTCGATTTCTATGTTTAAGGGGGAGCCACTCCTAAGGTGAGGTAGTGAGTTCACTGACCTTCCAACAAGACAATCTGGAGTAAGACAAAATAGTACGGTAAACGTCACAAAGTCACAGCTCACAGCTGGTTTGATTTCAAATCGAACCAAACATTGAGAAAACAGTGTGCCTATTTCAAAAAACAATACTGCTCTCTTTTTATATTATCATGCACTTCCCTGATTCTAGTTTAGGTGAAACAATCCAGTTTGGAAGAAGAATCTCTTCAAAACCAAGCTCCTTTCTCTTGCTTACCTGTCTTACGGGTCGGCCTGGGGCTGACACTTTCCTCTTTTGGTTTGCTAGACAGATGGAACCTCATGAAGTTCTTCAGACTGGAGGCGCGGCTCTTCTTGGTCTCGGGCATCCCAAAAGCAGCTAATCCGCCAAGACAGAAAAAAAAACATGAAAAGCTGGATTCAAGAAACGAGGAACTTCTGCTTATACAGAGCTTTAGAGTGTGGAAAATTGCTACGCAGAGAAAATATCTTCTAAGCAAAAAATTGATTACCAGCTATGAAGTAATTCATTCTCTATTCACTATGACCGATTTTTATCTCATTTTTGCTTAGCATGTGGATTTCCTGAGCAGTATTTGTTGCTTAGAAACTGTCAAAGAACACCGTGGAAATGGTCTGATCAAATGGGGATGAGCAACTGTTCAGATTGAAGCAGTAGAAAAATCAAGACTCAAAATCTGCAAATCTTTTACTGTCAGGCTTCTGACAGTCTGGCACCATTCCAGTGCGACCTAACCTCGTACAGGTAAGAATGGTGGGAACCAATCCTAAGAATTCTATGAGATCATCTTGTCGGGGCCAATGATGGCAGCTGTTGTTGCTTATCATGCCCAATCGATGTGTCTACTTATCAAGCCGGGAATGAGCACCAAAATCTCGCACATTTATGGGCGGGTCTCCTGTCTTCTCAAAATCAGAGACCAGTGGTGAAATGGCCACAGTGGGCAAGATGACCTTGATCGAAGTCACTGCTGGCCAAGTTTGGCAGGTCAGCCAAGTTAATTGATAATAATCATCCAATGGGTGATGGATGAGTTGGAAAACTGTGTCAGGGACTCACAGCTAGTAAACTCGAATTATAGGGGGGGCCAAAAAATCTGGAGAAAAATGTGTTTTAACATCAAATTGTCAGGTGCCAGGAAGAAGGTCGTAAACGCTTACAACCTTTTGCCGGGAAGCATAATCGCTGCAAAAAAAATTTCCCAGCCAAAGGACGTTTGTATGCAACTGTTTTATTTAAATGAAATATAAAGATTTCTTTGCAAATAGTTACACAAAAAAAATTTCCAAGTCATTTGATAAGTTGTTCAAAGGTTGCTTTTTGCAAAGCCTGTGTTGATTTTATGGCAAATTTTATACGTTTTTACTAAATAAAGAGAGTGTGTTTCTTACACCCTTTTACCGGGAACATTTTTTCTACTGTGATCATGCTTTCAGGCAAAGGGGCGTAAGCACGCTTACGACCTTTTGCCGGGCACACAACAAATTGTAGCATCAATGGAATGAAGTTCAAAACTTCTCTCAGAGTGAATAAGCTTCAAACCTTTAATTGAACTGATATCATGAGTAAGGGGTAATCGTGTAATGTATTTATTAATAATAACTGAACGTGGCTGAGTCAACTCTCGATGACCAGGGACCCAAATAAGGGAAATAAAAAAAAAAACAGGACACAAGAAGGCGCTTGAGTGTGGAACTTCCCTATAAAAACTTTACATCCTTCAACCAATATGCGTGTTTTGGTGTGCTGTCTACGATATTCAGAACATGAGTATGGCAATGGATGTGCCAAAGAAAACATCTGCTGCTACCACAGCAGGAAATGATGTACATGTATCATTAATGTCACGTCTGGGATGGATGAGGAACTAATGACACATTTGACATGGTCATGTGACAACCTCCACGTCCCCCCCCCAAAAAAATCGAAGAATGCATTTGATTGTTCAAATCCTTTAATTTGCCGTTCATATTAATGCATTACCAACACAACACTAATGGAAGAATGCTACAAAATCTTTTGATACTTCCCTGCGCTTTTCCTCAAGCTTTAGAACCCTAGATTGGCTTTCTAGCCGCCAGCTTGTGGTTCTACATGAATTCTTGTTCCATGAAGCCAACCAGGAAATTGTTCTTGACAACTTCTCTGCTATAAACCTTGAGTGTATTACACTTGCTCTATATTGAGTTAAAGTACACGCAATGGTCACCAGCTTTGTGACCGTACTGATCTCGTTTTGCCCCAACAAAAATGGTGAGTCATACGTCGATACAATCAAAATCTGTGAATGCTGACTTTTTTTAGGGACTGCACTTTCATAAGCCTAGAGAAAAGAGACGGTGGAGTAACAATGCGGGGTACATATAACCAACTTCCAGTAGTTTTAGAACCCAAGGTTAGTCTGTGTAACCCGCTCTGTGAAAACGAGTCACATGTCACCAGAGCCACTTTGGAGTTAAACGCCTTTGGATGAATCTCGAGCAGTGTTTAAGCAACAGGAATCCTCAGCATTTTAATATCTGCAGAACGTTCTTTTTCATTGTATCAAACTGAATGACGCATTAAAACAAAGAGCTCAAATTCCTCAATTTAATACAAAGTCACAGTCAAAAGTAGCTCCAGTGATATGTGACTCATTTTGACGGAGCGAGTCACATGCGCACGCTTTGCACCCAGGTGTCACGACATACATGTACATTGTTGGTGGTTAAATTATCGGTGGAAATTACAACGGATGGCTGATCTTTCACTTTCACCACCGAAAAAGGAAACAAAATCAAATGAATTTTCTGAGGTAATGTATCTGGGAAACCTCAGGTAGTGCACACCGAAGAGTTGTGCGCAGACTTTTCTGGCTAACTTTCACAACAAATCTGTAGCAGCCTGAAGGGGGCATTCAAGGCAAATGCCCCGTAACCAGACTGCCAAAGGTGGGAGGCGGTGGAAATTTTCCATGGAAAATTTGGGGAAATCTATTTTCAAGGGGTCAGAAAAGCTGGGAAATTTTGTTTGAGCTTTTAATTGAATTGTCAATTCTAATGAAGGTTCACCAAATTTTTAAGAGGTGCAGTATGCAAGGATTTGGTTTAATCTTACTTAAAGGATTGTGACCATGATCCCAATCAAATTCGCTTGCGTATCAAAAAGGTGACACAATTTTGATGTTCTCTATCGTTCAACATGCCATTTCTTGAATGCCTCGGACCTTGGAATGACTTCAAGACTAGAATACATCAATATACCATTGACAACGCTACTGAAAGAATGATGTCTTCAGCATTCCAGTATTTTCCCCGTCTTGACTACGTTGTAGCCCGTGATGTATCCAGACAGTGCAGGTCTTATGTCATCTCAAAAGATGCCATGTTCTTTCATTCATCATCTTGTAAAAAAATCCTCCCCCACATTAAGTGTGGGTTGGGTCTCCTCGAGAGTACCTACCCAGACAGTCACTACTTATGCAAATTTCCCACGTGCCTATTATTTATTTGCTGAAATAGATGCCACATTCTTTCATTCATCATCTTGTAAAAAAGCTGAATTTAGACATAATGGAAATTCCCCACCATGACCTTCAATCAATTTCTCACAGGGGGCCTGAGAAGATTACCCATTTCTACGAGTTCAGATTCATAATTGTTTTTGAACACTGATATGATGAATGATCTTAATAGGTCTCCCGTAACATATATTTCAATAGTACATAGTCCTGACATTCAATAGTACATAGTCCTGACATTCAATAGTACATAGTCCTGACTGCTACAAACTTAATATCTTTCCTTTGTTTTGTGGGGTTTGAAAGAACAATTTTTGGAGTGGTAATTTCAAGGACTCAGTTTACATTTGTAATGTACAGGGAAGTATTTTGAAAGACACGTTTAAACAGGGATGCAGTTTTGGCCTCAAGTGCGGTATTCCAACTGAATCTGGAAATGTCTTTGGCAGAAAAATCCAGTAGCGAGTGTAAAACGACTCAATAGCCCCGAAAATCCAGAGTAATTAATCTTGATGACATCTTTTTGACATATCACTCTCTCCATCAGGTGTGTCACTGCAAAAAAAAAACCTAGCGGGGGACCTGTCATCTGGAGTTGGTTTCCTGACTCTGTGCTCTTCGATGACAGGGTTTTTTTCCTTTCTTCCCCTTCTGTTCCTGTCCCTCGGTCGTTTGTGGTCAATGGGAAAATAACTCATCCTTACTCGTACCAGACAGGAAATGCGTGGTTAAAGCGGTTTCCGCCAGTGGCTGTCTATGACAGCTCTGTAAATTATCGCCCCCCTCCCCCAGAACTGACTCCATCGCACATTATTGATGATCCTGCACAACTATCAAATCATTGCACCCCAGGGAAAATGATCAATCAAAAGCAACATCTTCACTAGCGGAAAAAAAGGGACAAAAATATCACCTGCTCTGGAGAACATAGTTCGGCAAAATTACGAGACCAACGACAAATTTGTGTGGGGCAAGAAAAGGGCTTTTGAGCAGTCACCATCTTTCAGAGCTGCCGTTCTCTTCTCATAAAATGCAGACTTACAGAACAATCTGAAGAGGTGTTTCGATCTTGGTAACATCACACCTGTACTCAAAGTGCACATGCCTTTTTAAGCCACAACACCTGTTAGCTAAAGATGCATGTAGCACTCAATGTAATTAGTATGATGTCATCAAAGCGGTGGAATCTTATCCTGGTCCGGGGATCAATCTATGTGACTTTTCAGTGATTTCAATAGACAGGAAGGGGAGGAATTAGTTTTGGATGGAGTACTTGAAGTTTCTGGGCAGAAATGCACCCAGAAAGTGAGCAAAGTTTTGGATAAATAAGCTCTGATATCTTACCTCCATCCTCTGTTGTTGTGCTCATTGCGTGCTCCGGAGATGTCGGCCTGTGTGGGAAAAAAGACAAAAAGAACAAATTTACGGATCAATATCCAAAATCCAACCCTAACTAAAACGCGAGGCTCAACACCAAGAATACGTTGCACCTATGCAACTGCTCGTTTGCTATCAATGCATTCAGATGGGTGCCAAAAGGGGGCAGAACCAAAGCGGCAAGGTTGATCCTTGGAGAATGAACCGCCGCAGCCACTAATGATGACATCATCACCGATGCTGTCCGAGTCTGCCAAATGTAACCTGTGATTCCCTTGGCCACCGAGGAAGTCTCCAGACACCTGGAACTTTGTTCCAAGAGCTAAGACTTCAAACTGGACCCGCTCCTCATTTGTAGCTCCAGTCCCCAAAACATAAAAACAACCTCTGACATGGACCCCAGGAGGCACTGCCTGAGTCACGTGCACACAACCTGTACTTACTCATTTGTCTGTAATGTCTCTGTGCCCAAGTTGGGAGCCGAAAGGGACATCCGTCTCAACCATCTGTGTGCCATTTTTCACACGGCAACTTAGGGCTACCTCCTTGACTTCAAGCCACAATCGCCAGCAACAGCCAAAACGTTGATTTCTGAATTTTACAAATTACTTCAATCAGTCCCACAGCCGCAGTTCTCACATTACCGGACATTTCCTCGTATTTTCGACAAAGTGACATGCCAGGCCTGTCTGCAGCAACCGCCCACGGTGCCTCGATTCACTGGGCAACAAAAACACAGACGTGTAGAAAGACCAGCAACGGACAAAGAACAGGAGCAAAATTGTCTTTTGAGCTAACACCACAAGCCCATCACATGCTTTCATACAGACCTACTGCACCTTCTGCTCGCTTTACATAAATAACTACTTCAAAGCAAATCAAAAGCCCAGAACAGGAAGTAAAAATTCAGGAAAAATGCAAGGTGTCCACCATACTGGTGGAAACTTTCCAAGGTACGGACAGTTGAAAGTTTAACCTGTGGGCTCCGAAAACCGGTAACACAACCCACTCCATGCACACAATGGGTTTCAAAGTAAGGCTACGTGTATTCTGCAAGTTGTTACAACTGAATTTGTGGTTGGAATCAAGGTGCCACCAAGGGGGGGGGCAGAAATATGAGAATATTACTGAAATGTTAACATTTTGGATCCTTTGGTTTTTTTTCGTTTGTGGTGGTATATGCCCATGTGAAGGGAATACCAACACAAGCTCTGAAGGATAACTTTATTTCTTTTTTCTTTAATAAAAAAAATTATTGACTGAGGTTTGAATAGCTGGGATGAATATTCTCATGAGCAGCCATGCACACTAACAGAAAGACTAAAGGAAAATAAGAAAAAAAACGAGCAAATGATTGAATGAAAAAACACAGAAGTCAATATGTAAACATGTGACCAGCCAACCAAATTCCATAACAATGGATTTCAGGCTCAAAGGACACGGGGACATCTGCACAAGCCCGATCTTCATTCCATCAAGGTTTTCATCCACAATAGACAGAAACACACAGGTCTAGCCTGGCATGCTGCTTTTTATCATGTCATGAACTCTGGCACAGATACACATAGAAAAATTCTTTCACGAAACAGACCCTGTCTTTTTTAGCGTATTTCCTGGCCCAATGAATTGATGTTTGCATGCACGCTTTCCATCGTTCAGTGTCTACAGTTCCTTTATGCAAATTCTGCGGCTTCTTTCTCGTTCTCATTGTACTGCTTGATGCGATGAGGTGAATATTTGCCCTCTGTGCCAACCAATGGTCAACGATGTAATCAAGTCCATCACAAGTCTGCAAGCTGGCCACAAGTCATTCAGTCTTAAAACCAAGTCACAAGCTACGTAAAGGACCTGTGACCAAAGTGTTCTCTTGTCACTGTTCACCCGTTTACTTATACGACTGGCCTTCTGAAAGGACTTGTTACTGGACGAGTGAAAGGACCTTTCTACAACAATGACCCAGCAATGGCAAGCAAACGGCTCCACAGACATGCAGACAAATCAAGTAGAACATTGCTTGGCAGAAATTTGTGCTACGCAGAAATGAGCGGGTAACCGGTCTCCAGTACTAGTCTGCTGGTAACCCTTTTTCTTCCTTTTTTGCTCGGTATGTAACAGAACTTTGGTGAGAAATGCCCCAGTTGCATAAACTTGGAACAGCACAGAAACGTCTGAGCAACCAGAAATCCTGCTTTTAAGGCTTGGTGTCTTTACAAGTTCAGATGGGATTTGTGCATGTCAACAAACAGATTTCCTCAAAATTTATGATGCAGCACAGCACCATCCAATTACAAAGAGCAACCAAGTCTAACCATTATTAGCTTCTAAGCATGAGGAAGTTAACAGCAAAATATTTCAAGGGCAAACTGGGCACCAGAATTTTTCAGTTTCTCACCGAACAATACACTTCCAGGCGATCCAATGACATCACTGGGAAATACCCTGTTAACATAAGAGCTGACTTACCGAGCATGAACGACTACTTCCTGTTCAGGAATACAATTCAACTCTGGAAAGGTTCAAAACCTAGCTCGGCGGGGCACAGATCAAGAACGGTCAAAGTGAACCAGCAGCGGGGCCTTTCCAAGAGGGGTTTTTCCAACTAAAAATCCCCAGAGCCGGCCATACCACACTGATTCAGTAAATTCAGGTTTCTTTTTTTACGCTGAAAAGTATATTTCATGCATGTCACGACAGGGGAAAAGCCCTATCATATATTTATCCAGCGGACTAAACCTTGTCTATTTGTGACCCTGGCCATTCATGGTTTATATTAACCCCTCCTGAAAATTTTCCATTGCCATTGGAGTCAGACCATAGGATACAAATGCTTTACTGAGAGAACAAGCATGATTGGATAAAAATAGAAAGTTGTTGGTCCATCTCCAGGTTATGGCTTGGAGTTAGAAAGCCCAAGGTCAGAAGGACTATGGGTCAGGCGATCACATGATGAGAAGGGGGGGGACTGAGGTGACTGACTGACTGTATCCAGGATACAGTCGCAGCTCAGTGAACACAGCAAATTTTGGCACAGGGACCTTACGCTACACAGTCTAACTTTATGCTCTCTGTGAAGTTTTTAAAAATTAATTTGAAAAAAATTAGGTATGCAAATTGTGCAAATGCAAAATTGGAAAAGAGGGCTTCTAAGTTATTTTCTAATTCTTGATTGTATTTTCATGTTCATAACAAACTTGGGCATCCAAAATGGCCACCTGTAATGGTAGCTGTCGGTTCACTCATGTTACCAGGGAAACAAACAAATCACAATGCAAGGTTGAACCATTTCAGTCAAAATAAAAGCCAGAAATTGCTGGGCATTTCTTTCCACAGCTGGACCATGGCTGGACCAACTAATAGAGTGAGTCATCTTTATACCGCCATGACTTCCATTTTGTATGGTCGAGAAGACCCATGGAATGCCAAATGTGACGTGGGTTGGTCTGTCGTATTCTCATTCCCCTCAAGACACACAAACCGACCGCAGTCACAACTGAGGTCACAATTTCTGTGCATACAAGACACCGATAACATTCTTCACCCACCTGAAAAACAGCTGTTCGCGCACCCAGACGCATACCTGAAATGAGCAGGGCCGTGGTTAGCCCCAGACTGGGGCTAGTTTACAGGACTGCCTTCTTATCCCTGGCCCCATGACTACTCACCAAAAAAGTGGAGACATCCTGAAAACGCCTTCTCTGAGCCCCATTTTGCACATACGGCTTCACTCAACCCATCTCATCATTAGTTGTCACAATGGACGATTTTCAGTTTGTTTCTGTCTGTGAAATTTTGGGTTCGATTTGGTTGTCTCAACACGGCCATTCATTTACTACGATGATTAAGTCTCAATCATTTGACGGGTGATAAACACCGTCAGGATTTGTTTGGTCTGGGAACCGAGGTAGTCAAGTAGACTGGCCAAAGTCTGGGGCAAGGCTGTAGTCAACTTCATCACAAGTCGCCAAGCACCCTTCCAGTCACAAGATCAGTCACTTCTGTTACAGTTCATCTGAACAGTCTGTGATTTAGCTTGTGACTGGATGACTAATGTTGGACTTGCAGCGACTAGTAGCAACTTGTGACAGATGCAACCCCAGCTCTTTCAAGTGAATCCCCCCCCTTTGTTTGCCTCTGAGTCTCTTTGCTACTTACTTCTTCGATTCAGTGAGCGCTGAGCACCAAGTTGTCGCCCTATGCCACTGCTCTGAGAAATTCTGCTTTGTTCGGCCAAAGTGATGCGGCACGGACCTCCTTCTCTGAGGAATTTTGTCCTCGTCATGAACACAATGCTCCTCATCCATATTTGAATTTCAATTGGAGGAGAATTTAAAGAAACTGTAACCAAGTTCAGGAACACTGATAAAAGGCTGTCCTACTTCACCTGAGACAACCCTCTCAGTCTCCCACAGGTGGAGCTCAACTTCAAGCAAACTGACAGAGTATTTGAAACAGTGAACACCACTCTGTGATTTTAATATCTGAAGGAAGTAAATAAAGGTGTGGCGAGCGGCATCGGTGAAAAACACCATGAGGACTATGGACTGTCTACAATCAAAATGTTCTGTTTACAAGTTGTCCAACTTGTTCTAAAAGTACAACAATGACAAAGCAATCGCCCCTTGAGGTGCCCTGAGGCCACAATACCACTGGCAACAGCCGAAGCTCCGCCCACTTATCATTACCAAACGTGGAATGTACAAAGAGGTATGCCAGACATTAATTTGACATATTATGTTCTGCATTTGGCCCTTTGATATGTCACAAAGGGACAGCCCCTTCAGGCTAAACATGGACTTTGGACCGAAAAATCATTAATCTTCACTGATAAATGAATTACACTTCGCTCTCCCAAAGGTTTTTTTTTTTTTTAACTTTGGCATTTCAAAACATACTTATCTCAATACAGATCAGACTTGGTAACCATCACTTGAACAGTGGGATGGTTTGGGGATTTCCCGGAGTCCAAAATCTGAACTTCATCTTGGGCTGGTCTTCACCTATTGCTCCACAACTGTGGCTTAACATTTGGCCTGGCAACCAAAGATAACATATTCCAAGCTTGGGACTGAGTATAGACAACTTGTTGCTTCTGTGGCAGACAACAGTGCTGCATTGGGCCGCAGGGTCTCAACTCACAGGCCTAAAGTTACAAAAGAAACCAAGTTTGGAAAAAACCCACTTGCAATTTACAAAGACACACCAGTTTCAGTGAAGTCATTCCAAAAAGTTTTGGAATGCAAGGCATGATGGGGCACTGTCTGGCAAACAAAATCCCTACTGCCACCCACGCGCCTACATGTACCGTACACTACTGACAGGATACGTTCCAGTACGGAAATTGCTAACATTTTTTACACAATAAAAAACTCATGAATGATCTTTGCAAACCATAAAGTACATTGATAAAACAAACAAACACTCACACAAGTTTTTCTTATGGAAAAAAAACTGGTGCAAAAAATTCTTCGTATCTGAATTTCTCTACGTTCTTGGTTGCAATCAAACACAAATTATGAAGTTGTCTCGGGCTGCAGACCTATGCTCAGGCACAGAACAGCCTAGATAGACCGAGTTACGGTTTGTCCTTAATTTCTCTACTCTTTTATGGCCCAAGAACGGGAGATTTTGTAAAAAAAAAAAAAAAAGAGGGCTGGACTACTTGAACAGGAAGGCAAGCTTTTATTTTTGGGAAATTTGTACAAAGTGGGACCCTCAAAGTGGTTGTATGTTTACCATGGGGTGGTAGCCTCATTTTCCTAGACTCAAAGAAAGAGTTGCTTTAACAGTCCTGGGCAAATTGTTAATAAATGGCCCAGTCTGGTTCCCTATCCAAGATGTTGTGTCATCATTCCCAACATTGTCCTCCAGGCTAAAAAAATTCTAAACTATTTCCAAAATGTGGCACAGCACCACACAAGACGGTCTACATGTACCTCCCCTAACCTATAATAACCAAGCTGTTTCCCCCTCCTGTAACGTCTAACCAATTAAAACATTACTCATATTATCCATTTCCTCTTTGGCTTTGCCATTCCCTTGCTGAATATCCATTATCAAAAATTTCATATATAAGTTTTCGGATGGCATTTACACAGTGGCATAAGCCCTTTACATGAATTAACAATGAGCCCGACGAAAGGATTGACGACATCATAAGCACTTTTTTTTTGTTTGAGTAGATAAGTCCCAGACAAGTAGTCTCCGCCGATGATTGCCCGACCTGGAATCATTACCAGCGTGGGGATCAATAATATATTAATTATATGCAGTTTGCGCAAGATGATACCTGGTGGGGATAAAATTAAAGGGCAGAAAAAAATTAAGGAATCCTACATCTATGTCTGTGTCATCATGGGGTGTGTTGTGGGTCAAGACTGGCACGACCACCCTCGTCATTTATCCTGGACATGCCCCTGATGCCATCCATTGGGAAAGGATCACAGAGGTGAATGGATGGGGCAACTTAAACTTGAAAAAAAAAGAATTAATTTCTAAAAAATCACCATACTAGGAAGAGCAAATAAAACTGAGTAAAATGTGTCAACACACACACACCAAATAAGTAGAAAATGTCAAAAGAAAGACAGAAATAAGGCAGTGCAAATAATTAATGAAATGATAGGAAACGAATAAGCCCTAAAACACACCAACAATCTCTAAACAGAGCGAATGTACACATCAATGAGACTGTTCATGTACTAGTACCAGTACGTGTACATATCCAGTGTAAAGAGCAAGTTATGCCAAGGTCAAGTACACGAAGTCCGTAATAGAGTAAGTGGATAAGCAACCATTCGGATGACAGGAAAAAGTGACTGACATAAGAAAAATCACTCTCTCACCCTTTCCGAGTCTCTCCTCTCCGCCATTTCTTGATTTTCCAACGCACGCCAGACATCTTAACTTCCAGGCACAAACACAAGTTCAGCTCACAGTGCAGACAACTAGTCCAGTCCCCTTGCCTCTCACACACTTCTCTCCACTATTGCTTCACATTTAGTCACCAATGCAGTGCATTGTACGAAACTCTTTTTAAATGTTGCTCTCCGGCCTAGAAAAGTCAGTCCAAAGTTGTGATAAGCCGCGCTTTAATTAGCAACTTGGGAAGGATCCAAATCAGTAGCAACCACCTATCCTATTTCGTCAAGAACGGATTAACAAACCCCCCACAAGACGTTTGAGCAACACCCTGATAAGTTTGAGCGCATGTGGGCATGCTGCGAAGTTGAGTAACTTTTGTTGTTGCTTTACGGTGTACTTTCACAGTGCGTCCATTGTCATTTCCTGCTGGCACTGCTGAAAGCTGTTTTTCCACATGTCCAACTCGGCTGAAACAATTTCAAAGGTACTGCAGCCCACTCTGCCGCACACCACCCACTGCTTGCTTTTCACCAACTCCGGAGGCTTTGTTTGCCATGCATGCCTTCACTCTGTTAGCTGGTGTGACAATGCATCGAATCCACAACACCACCATAATCCAGAGGCACAAATTGTGTTCCAAATTTTCCCCGACTCTGGCTTCAATGCCAAAATGTGGTTCTGATGAGGTGGAACTATCTTTCAGTTTCTTTCTGGTTAGGAGGAATGAGAACTACATGTACGGCCCAATCAGAGTTCCCCGGCCAGGAAATCTCTGGTGTCGATTACTCACTTCCATTGGGGCTGACTTCAAACCCAGATTGAAGGCCGATGAAGGATATGATGGGTCCTACAAAGTTTTGCCAGTCAATTTCAAAGTCTGACACACCACAGTCTCCATTTCCCTCTCCTCTTAATGTTGACTTTCTTTCTCTTATATTCATGGGGAACTGACCTTCAACATCTGTTGGGTAATGGGAAGTTATACCGAGCAACGGAAGCAGAAGATAGGAAACAGACTGCTTCCCGTATGCTATGCCAGATTGTACCACTTGTCAAAAGATCATGTTGAACCTTTGAACAGTTCTATTACTCTTGTAAATGTCAATTTTAATTGGAGAAAAATTCTCTCAGAGAAGACGGAAACTTAAGGCATGAATTCAATGGATTCAATTTCTGAGAGTAACATACTCTGACTACATTCTATTCAAAAAACACCAAAACACACAACCTTCAAAACTCCCCCCCCCCAAAAAAAAAAACTGGCATGGACCCAAAACATGACGTCTGTTGCTACAAGAAGTGCAAGGACAGGAAGAAAAATGAATGTGCTTGGCTATCAAAGTCCTAAAATAGATGGCATTTGAAAGGTCAAACCTTAATCCGTACGTAATCGTCTGTCATGTACGTGCATGCTGATCAAACATTGTTCTTGGCGGAAACTGGCTTGTGATCGCTCTGAATCAGTTTTGTCCTATTCACTCGAGACAATACTGCTCCATCTCCCAAATTTCCAGAAATGCTACAAGCATTCACATACGTGTATAATCTGCCCCTATTTTGTGAGTCGGCCACAAATATTTTCCAGCACAAGATGAGAGCATGAAACACAAAATGGGGATGTCTAAACAGTCTGGATACTGGCAAGAGCGGTGGGGATACAGCAATGTCACAAATCAATATTCCATACATATTATTTTCCTGACAACAAGCAACACAAACACTCCTGGAAATCAACTTATCCGATACCGTGTGTCTAAAACCTCTTTCTTGAAATCAAGTAAAACACGTGTAAATTAAAATGTTGGACAGACAGAGTTTTGTTTTTGGCAAAGCACCAACTCTTAAAACTGTTGCCTAACAAAACAATCTCCACTTAACTTTTTACTAAGGTACACTCGCAAGAAAAAAAAAGAGCTTGAGTAAATGTCATACCAACATCCTTTCAGTTTACAACAACAAATTGTGTTTAACAGCTGACATTTCAAATTTCCTGAGAGGCAGACCCGCAAAAAATAAAAGTTAATGTAGTGAGAAGATGTTCTTTCAAGGATGGAGCTATTTCAAGAGAAATTGCTGTGCGAGACTTCATCAGGGGAGGTGCATCTGCATTAAAGGATTCCTCAATTTCCTCTTCAATTGCAAACTACGATTGGGAATTCAGCAGCGGGGTTCCTGCGACGCCAGTCTTTAACCACACTTTGTTTTCAATTGTTGTCTTTGCCTATACACACAACCACTCTTACAAAACACAAGAATCTTTCAGGACTTTAGAGAAGAGACAATTTTTAAAATACAGCTCGAAAATGGAAGAAAAATGTTTTGAGTACATTTCAACAGATCTAAGACTATCTTCTGTTATGAAAATCAAGAGCAAAAATACACTTCTCCCTTAGAAATTTAAGGATTGAAAAGTGTCTTAACCGGCTTTTTAAAGTTGTTTCTAAAAGGCAGAGCATACTAGTATTTTGTCAGTAGGACTAGTAACATTTGTATTTGATTTTTCCACAACTCAAAAGGTTTCAGATAAGGAACTCAAAAGGTTTCAGATAAATATGACTGAAAAAAGGAGAATGCAGGTATGCTTTTATGTTGGAAATTTTGGAACTTCTGATTTTCACAAGCTGAGAAAAAAAAATCTGTTGAAAAAGGGTGCGATTGGAGGAAAATTGAAAATCCACAGCAAGACCTTTTGCGGGCCCCACAGTGGTGCAGGGTCTTTGATGTACATTTGTGTTTCCCTAAAGGCATCCCTTAACAAACCCATTTCTTGTGTTCTTTATTAACTTTTACGCATCACAAGTTCACATTGCTAAACTTTGGATATTCCAAAATTTAAAAAAAAAATTGTTTGAACAATTCTGAAATCTGGAAAAAGCCTGACAAATCTCATCCCCGGTTGAAGAAACCTTTGAATTGCTTAATTCAACTGTTTATACTTGTAACTGTAAGTCAAATGCACTTTTTGTTTCCTGTTGACTTTCCGCATCCTTCACTCACCAAAAATTCAGGTTAAAGCATCTGTCCAATGACAGATACATGCATCATGTACATATTTGTATTACCACAAGCACATGAGCCATGAAAGTCATGCAAAACTTTCTGCTGTAGACTAGAGTCAGCCACATTGAACAGCGCCCTCTTGTGATGCCAATTTATCCATTCCTAGCATCTGGCTTCTCCAAAACATGAATTAACCAACTGAATCATTGTTCACACATCCCCACCCCGAAAAAAGAAAAGACTTCATTATGCCTACATGTATCTGCCCAAATGCATTTGGACATTCATCTGTCCACAAGCAAGATGTTTTACCACATTTGTCCAAAAACATACAGGTAACATATATGTAGTTTTTTATGTTCACATATACCAATAGTCAAATGAGATTGCAAGTGATGTGGAACTGCACTGCTGTGCATGGTTGGACAAATTTTCCGGGATTTACTACAAGCCTGATGATCAGGGGTAACAGCTTGTTGTTTGTACTCACCCAGAGGAGCTGTCACTTCCAGTGCTGGTCAAGGAGGAACCACTATGCTGCCTGTCTCCAGATTCCTGCAGGATAGTTCAAGGAAACAGTAACATTTTACATCTCTGATTTCCTTTCTGGCAAAACACCAATGATGATTTTCACTCTTTTAACCAATCAGGAAATACAAATATGCATGGGATTTTTATTTCCATGCACATTTGGAAAAATGTATGTCAACTTTTACAGCACTAAATCCTGATCAAATAAAGAGTTGCAATCACTTAAACAAACAAAATATTTTAAGGATTAAACTTTGCCTCGTGGCCCCATTTATTTGAACCTTTCCTTGAGACTGACAGAAGAAATCGAATAAACACATCCCGGTTGGAAAAAATATTGATAATCTGATGTCAAATACAGTAAACTGTCACTCTAACAGCAGAGGCAACCTACGCTTGATTGCACAACCACTGTCGTTGGATGCACGCTTGACTGCATGCACACAACTCGCGCCTTCGGCGCATTTTTTGCTGGGAAGGTGCTCACGCAGGAAGAAGATTGCACAGAGGTGCCCAGGGGCCCCCCTGTTGTTAGGACGGTTAGGACCTAGACCATCCCACGAGAAAAATTGGGCGTTTGCCAGGTTCGCATTGGCACTTTTTAATGAGCCAGCCTCGTGGGATTCGCACGGCCCGTTGTATCGGCCGGGGCCCCGGCAACAAAGCGTTCTCGAGGAGAAGGTGACAAATTCATGAGGCAATTCAGCTTTTAACCGTGTTTCCCTGTATTTACTTGCAAATCAAATTCTGTGGCTGGAGTCTACTGAATTTTGATAATTTTTTCCCCCTCGATAATTGTGGGGGAGAGGACGGGGACTAGACTTCTGGGAAAAATAGAAATTGGTGTGAATTAAAGATATGCTTAAAGGACTGTAATAGCGTCCAGCCCAAAACTTTATTGAATGAATATTGTCGGTAATACTACCCTTGAATAACAATGGAAATTGCTTATCAAACCAGCACGCTAAAATATTTTCATAATTGTGCATACAATGACAGAAATGTTTTTAGGCATACATGTACATGTAAATGATTTACTGAAGTGGTGCTTTTTCTGAACTGTCCACCTAAAAAAAAAAAAATACTTCACACATGAATTTCAAAGCAGCATATTTAACTCTCTGAATTCCAAACTGCTTCGACTCAAGAGAAAAACATCAGGAGTATAGAGAATTTATCAGAGAGAGGAAAATATTTAAATGACTGATATCGGAGAAATGTCTTGATTTTTTTGACTCGGAAAGTACTTAGAAAATCTCTTGTTTCTGCACCATTTTCAGGTTCTTCACTCTGCTTTCAAGAGGTCTCGGATTCTAAACTGAACCTGAAACTGACATGTACATCATTCTATCATTACCAAACATGATTCCATCGCTAAAGGTTTTTCCTGCTTGCGGAGCTAGGAAATCGTGTTGACAAGTCCTGTTCCCCTCCCTCGTGTGAATTATTAGCCTACGAGTTGTATCAATGCACCAAGATTTCTATCTAATGAAATCGCAATACAATAAGGAGTCTTATCAAGTCATCTCCGAAATCAAATACCAACATCCTTTTGCTCTCCCCACTCCACGAGCCCTCAAACTTGGCGCAAATATTCTGCCAATTGTAATTCACCGGTGCTAAGCCAGAGAACCAAGGGATGTTGGGCTCTACGCAAAGTACACTTGATGTCCCATAGTGGTAACACGAGGGAGGGCTTTGTGCGAGATTTGGCCAAGCAGCTTCTCGAGTTTTGGGGCAAACATTGCCGGGCATTGAGGTAATCTGGAAACGCTGATAAGAGTGCACGTCTCCAAAGAGATGTCATTGTTACATCGAGGAACACGGTGGGGGGAAAGCCTTCCAACAGTTAGGAAGGCTTTGTATACAGACCGGGCAGGCCAGACAAACAGAACTCTGCGTCTGTTTCGATCGCATCACGGGAGCAGTTGCTCCCTGGTGCAACGGTTCAGATCCCGCAACCCGATACCCGAGCATGGAGGGGGGGGGAGAGCAGTGCACGGGGGCTTAAGAGGGGAGAGTGAGTCCTATTTGATCAGGAGCGAGCGTATCGTCTCGCAAGGGGGAAGCCAAACAAGACCCCACTGTGTTGCCAAACGGCGCGTGGAGTGCCCTGGGAAACAAGCGCCAAATTGATGTCAATATTAGCTGAGCTGGAGTTGGGGCCGCGAGAGTATGAAGGGAAGGGGAGGAGGAAAAAACAAAATAAGAGAGAGACAGAAAGCAGGGGGGGAAAATGAACAGTTGGCATGAGGAAAGAGACTGGAATTGAAGATGGAAATGGGGGCTGGAGGATGAAGTTTCAACTGGTGATGGAGGAAGGTAGACAGGAAGGATGGAAGATTGGAGGAGAAAAAAAGAGGGAACCAGGGAAAACAAGAGTGTTTCAAAGTCGGAGAGAGACGCCATAGCAGATGAAGTTGGAAGTATGGCTACATACCAATTATTACCACAAGAAACAAGTTACCAACGTAAAGCAAATTTACTCACTGTAGTGCCCTTTTGCATGGACACTTTGGGAAAAAAGGATAGAATTGTCTATTTCGAATGTCAACAACTGACCTCTCTGTAAAATGTATATATTCAGGGACTGGCACACCATTTGAACTGTAAGTAATTAAGGTCGTAATTGGTATCAAGGAAGTAACACTGTACCACCATAACTGCCTCAGGTGACTGTGGGCGGAGCTATGTAGCCACTCCCCTCGCCCATTCCTGCCTATT